TGAGCCAAGTACATGACCTCAGTGGGTGTACGTGAACATTATATTTGTGTTTGCAAACTTTCCATCAACGTGTGATAAATAATGTGGGAGGTGAAGCACGGATACTCTTGGGTGGGAGACTTCTGCAAAGCTCGAAAATCAAGAAAAGTAAAGTAAGATAATCCACTAGATGGCAGCAGAGTATAGACTAACATTTTCGTCTATGCTGCCGTCAGGTCAGCTGCTCTAACAATCAATTTAAAGGGTTCTTTTCCAATAAAAACATACTCACACTCCACATCCATCAGTGAAACAGCTTCAAGCTTACATGTAAACTGAGAATCAGTTATTTATTGTAATGTGGTCCCTGCCCTTGGCCATTGCTGCCAGGCAGTAAGTGATGGGAGTGGTGGGGGAATCCAGCAAGAGTTTCCATCAGTATTAGAGCAATGCTCTCTTGAGAGAGAGTGAACTAACTAACTCTGATCCAGTGTTTCAGTGTTTCCTCCCTGCCGTACTTCTGTCATCTCTTTGCTTTACATGTTGCTGGAATCAATTGTTTAAACCTTGAACATTCAACGCACAGCTGATGGTTTCCTCACGCTGCATCCTGCACACCGTGGAGAGTAACAGAGCTGCAATGACCCAATTATCTCTGGAGGCTGAGTCACGAGGGTGTGCATAGTTGCTCTTTGTTTTTTTTCCATTCCCAGAGTTAAGTCTGTCTGTTGAGTCCTCCACATGTGGCCACTCCCAACTCTTTTCAGTCTTAACACCGGCAGAGATCAGGGGCAACAGATGCAACACAGCACTGTAGCTCTGTTACACTGTGTTTTCTCAATCCTTTTTACACTCTAGATTTTTAAGCAGGTCTAAGGGGATCCAACAGTAACACATGCTTTTTTTTTCTTTTTCTTTTTTTTTTAAACCATCCCTTTTTTTTTTTGCACATGGGCTTGAGGAGATAACTGGCCTGGATGTAACTTCCTGCCCAGCCCCCAGCTGTGCGTGGAGCCGTTTTCTGACTGCCCTCTGCCTGGGGCCTCGGGGCGATAAATTACATGAGCTCAGCGCTGCTTACATGTTCATCACTCCCCTTGACCCGCTGGAGTCGGTCACCACCACTTCACCACTGTCTGTTTTGACTCATAAGCCCTGGTGATGCTTTGTGTTTGCACAACCTCCAGCAGAGATTGACTTATGAGAAACTCCTCCAAGATATGATGATTATTTTGTTTTCCGTGGAGAAATTGCTAAATAAGAGGCCATTTGTGAGCTTCGATGAAGATTGATATAATCAAATTCCCAGCAAGGTTGGGGATTAATTTGGAAAAACACTGGATAAAAAGTTCAAACATTGTCCCTGGCTGGCATATGTTTTCAACTTTTAAGCAGGACTTTGTTTTATAGGCAAGTTGCATAGATTACACTCTTTTGAGAGCCTTTGGGGGATAGTGGTAAACAACATATTTCCTCTGTATTTTCCCTGACATTAAACATTATTTTCCACTTATTTTCAATTACTAAACCAGATGTTGATTCCAAACCTCATGTGCTGTTCACTTCACTCCAAGGACGACGCATCAGGCGCAGCTGTATGCTCTGAGTTCAAAGGGAACAGATCTCACATAGACATACGTTCATTTTCTATTGAGTTGTTTTCTTATGTTCAGATGAACCAGTGTGTGTAAACACATTTGGGACATTAGTCACTGGCTTTGGAGAAGGTTTTATGAGTTGAGAATTTTCTCAAATGACTGAGGAGCAGCCGAACATGAAAGTCAGCAATGCTGGAGATTCACAGTTTCCCCTGACAGTGAAAACATGACGGTGAAGTGATTCTTTAACAGAGAATATTATCATTATTAGTCATAAACAATAAAATGACACAATGTCTCTGTGACAAAGGATAAAGATACGTATAAAACTATGTAAGAACATTCTGCCTGTGTTTGCTGAATCATGGCTTTCTTGGGAAAACAGAGTGAAACATCTGAGCTGGAGGGAGTTTGTCTGCACGAATCTTGCTGAGCTTTTTCTGTAAATGTGTGAAGTAACTGGTTGTTTGCTGCCCTGTTTCTTAACATCTGTTTCCCTTAAAAAGGGTATTTGGAAAAACAGAATTAAATTATCTTTAGCACACAATCAATACTGGACTGCATATCTCCCAGAAATTTATTTTTTTATAATATTTTGTACTATTTTAAGACTTGACTCTTTTGTTTTATTTTATCACCACTTGTTATTAAAGTTCTATTCTGCAGCGTTATGAGCTGACACACTAAGGAACGCCTGGCAGGCCATACTTGTCCAACCTAGTCATGTAACGTTCACACTGATGCCAACTTCACTCTGAATATGCTTGAAAACTGCCTCTCATTTTGAGCCCATTCACAGCGTCTGCCATTTTCTCTGTGGTTTGTAACCATGGTGGCTGTTGTGTTTGGTGCAGCGCTTCAGCAGCTTTGCTTTATTTGCAATTAGACGCTGCAGGATTACCTCAGTTTGCCTCTCCTGCCTGCCATCATCTCTGTTTGACTGTGCTTATTCTTAATTAGAAACATAACACAGATTAGAACAGTGAAAATTATCCATCTTTGGTTTAAAGAAAAAAAACAACACTTCAGAACGACAGTATGACTGTATTTGATACTTTAAACCAGTTGACCACTTTATAAATCATTGGGCTGACAGCTCCAAACAGCTTTGTCCTGATTCAGAGCCGGGCAGCTCCATCTGCTACAGGTGCCCATTTTTATTCATGAAGTATCTCCAGAATGTAGTTTCTATTTCACCTATCAATTACTTATATGCTAGATGACATTGCAATTATAAAAATGTTGTCACGGTGATCGTGTCGTGTCCTGGGTGTGTTGCTCTGTAAGTGACGTGACCATATGTACTGTATAATGTCAGATAAAAAGGCTTTGTCTGATGTGTTTTGTTTTGCCATGGGCCACCCTAATAACAGTTGCATGCCTGCTGTCTGCCAGCTGCCATGCCTGCTGTAACAGCCAGCACAGTGCTGGAATGTTCCCATGCAGATCCTCTATTCACACACACACACACACACACACACACACACACACACACACACACACACACACACACACACATATGCAGCTCATGCACACTGACAGAAAGAAAGCCAACGCAGAGCGACTGTGGCACTTTTCGTTTATGCAGATGCAAATTTCTGATAACAAACTGAGGATGCATCAGCCAAATGTTTTCTCTACTGACTGAGCGTGGTTTATCACACAGGAGGGAAATAATTAAAAAGTTGTTGGACACTGAATGATAAAATGAGCTTTGGAAAAAAAACACAGTTAAAATATATTAAATGTAGGTGATTATATGCATAGATGCTCAGTTGACGGTTGATTTACAGGTCTTTTTTTGGGGGGTACTTATTTGCTGGAATTGCAGATCTGGTCATCTGAGAAGTGAAACTTTTGAAAAAAAAAACCTGATTTACTGACACCTACACTATCACTTTCCAAAAGTGACCCATAAAGGAAATGTGTACTGTGCATTAAAAATAAAAATGATATATATATATATATATTTTTTTAAAAAGGACGATATTGTCTTTGTAACTCTGAAGCTGACCAGTTAAATATTTGTCTTTTCAGAGGCTTTTGTGTTTGCCATGTTGGGCAGATGCCCTGTTTGACCATGAAACAAACCATTGAGAATTGGCCACTTGGCCACTAATGAAAAGACTGGGTTGGATTAGGGGGTGCTCAGACCTCCTTGGAAACCGGATACCAGTGCACTGGATTGATGATGACTGGCATTGTTTCTGTAAAATGGCCCATCTTTGTGAAAGGCTGCCATTTATCACATTTCTCCACAGAGGTAATATCAAACATGAGTCATGTCTTTCAAATCAGACACCTTATGCACCCATGTGTATGTCAGCATGGAAGTACCTAACAGTGTTACCTTGGGTTGGTTTTCACAGACCCTATAAAGCTATAGTTCTATAACTGTATGCATGTACATGTGTATATTACTATGGACGGGTAATATAAATTTTATGCTTTTTTATGGATGAGATAGGAGGAATAATCTGCATTTGTATTTACAGTATTATGTAATACACTTGTTTATCTAATATAGTTAAGTTAATTCCACTTAAAAGTTTTTTTTGCCCATTTTCCACTTAAAAAAACACCCACAGTTTGTTCTTCGCATTTATATTTCACAGCTACAGTGGTTAGTTTCTGTTCTTCCAAAAACTAAACTCCCAGTGATCTTTGAAAAAGCCAGAAGGTCGTTTAACAACACTTACTGCTGTTCTGAGGGTATTTTCCAGAATTGGTAAAGACTCTTCCAACCATCCATTGCACAATAAAAAAAAAAAAAATAAATAAGATTTTAAACCTATTTGCCAAGTTTGCCTCTGCAGTTCCTAATCCAGGTAGCTCCTGAATATGTACAATGAGAAACATATATCGATGAAACGCTGTATTATTACTTTTTTATTTTATTTTTATTTAAAACATTAAAATAATCACAACAGCAGCAATGAGTGATGTTCAACGAGATCACTGTACATGTATTTTTTTTATTTAAGAACACTGACCTGAACAGTAACACATGAGACTCACTAAGAGGTGTAGCTCATATGTTGGTCACTGACCTGTAGAATTACCTCATGTGTCTGTTGTCAGTTTGACACATGACACACAACTTTCCTCATAACACTTCATCCTCTACATTGGCTTACTTTGTGTTTGTGCAGCCTACAGAAACACTCGTCTTGAGCTGCGTGGTATAACATTGATTAGAGTCAGCGTATTTGACAGGACTGCTGCTGATACGGGGCTACCTCTCCTTTGTTTACTGGAGGACCGCGCGGATACTTTTAGACAAAATGGCTCGTGATGACTTTAGTTAACTTCATGGTGAGGGCTGAGGGAGTTGAGGGAGGGGGCGGTGAGGGTGAGAGGTGGGGTGGGTGGGTGGGTGGGGGGGGGAGTGGCAGACTGTGCTCCGGCCGTCCTCCCATCAGTCTAATCCCCTCTCTCTGTGGCGACGTCACTCAGGCTGTCTCCAAAGGGACGCAGCGTTGAGTGCTTGAGCAGCCAGGCGGCCAGTGTGCATCCCAGGACGCAACGTCAGTATAGCCGGGGCTCAACTTTCAGTCGGTCGCTAAACTTCGGACACTTTGGGGGAACTTACAAAAAAAAAAAAAAATGGGTAAGTATCACTAACAAATTCTCTAGTAGCTTAAAGATTGACATTAGCATCGCTGTTTTCGTCATGACAGCATTATGCTTCACACTTTTTTGTTGTTGTTGTCGCTCCAACTGTCGGGGGCCCACCGATTGCCCGAACGTAAACTGAAGTGATTTCAACTTTTACTACCACTAGTAACTACTACTGGTTCTAGAGACAGGCTGTTTACCTGACCCGGTTTCATGAGAATCGGCATTAGAGCAGTGTGCTGAAGCAACCTGAGGAAAGCGATTAGAGAGATTAAGTCTATCAGGATTCCTGCAGTCAACTCTGCTCGAGTCTGTGGAGGTGTTAAGTCCAGATCAACTTGCTGCTTCTACTGTCTCTCTTAATGCTGCTCTCAGCATGGAGCCTTAGACTTGGCTTGAGTCTTTATCGATCATTATTGCCCAGCAGTGATCGATCATGTAGCAGTCTTTGATATATCATTGGGTGAAAGGTTGTCTTCTGCTTCTCCCTAATCAAACTTGCACAGTGTGTTTTGCTGGTAAAGAATGACTGAGAAAAAAACAACAACAAAAAAAACACTAACAGGCAACATGTTGTGTTTGTCAGATGCTGTGTGTGTGTCATGCCAGAGCTTGTAAATGCTATCTGAAGGGCTGAGCTGAGACTGCCCCATCTTTAAATCAGCCCGAAGTGTTGGCCATCTGTGCTCCCAACCTTGACGGGTGGGTGGGTGGGTGGGGGTGCACTGGAAGGAGTGAGGCACTCATGCCATGGATGTTTAGTAACGTTAAAACTGTGATGAACTGTGAACCAGATGGGGAAAGTACACTCAGCTTTCACTTCCCAACTGTTCTCATCCCTCACTGGACTATAGACGTTTAACAATAAGGCGACACAGAAAGCCATTTTCAACTGTCTGTGTTGGCTTTGGGCAGCATTTAGGGGCTTGTGTGTTGTTTGCCGCCGGTGCAGCTGAGGCCAGGGAAGAACACTGTGTGAGAATGTGTATCAGCGCTCATTAATTCGCTCTGAAGCTCTCACAGAGGCGTCTTTGTGCTCCTAATTTGGAGCTGCTCCTTTGTGCGACTTCAGTGGCTCTTAATGTAGAGAGAGAAGTCCAGTGAATTGCAAGTTTCAGAGCGGATGCCTTGTGAACTAATTCCCCACAGACCCTTTTTCCACGTTCTCACAGAGGATATTACTCTGCATGGCAATCGACCTTTGTGCATTGTCCACTTGCCAAAGCTCCCATTTTATATTCAGAGATTCTTTATGGCCCTTTCAGAAAAAAAAAAAAAAAAATAGTGTAGCCTGTTGTTGTGTGGAGACTTGCAAGTCGCTGTAGAGGTCGCCTTTTTGTTGTGTCAGAGAAATGGATATCACACTGCTGTGCTGTGATTTGCAGTGTTTCATGTGAAATAGCTTTGAAAACAGAAAACGGATTAGCCGTGTGTATGAAAGCGTTCAGCCCAAAATAAACAGGATGTCTCCGAGCTGATTGTGTGCGTGTGTGTGTTTGTGTGTGTGTATGTGTGCGTGTGGAGAGCTGTGAAGAAATGAAGATGTCATTCAGAGGTTATATAACTTGTGTCTGATTTGATTTTACGGTGACCTTTCACCTTTGCAGAGGGGCCGCGTGTTTTTCAGAGAGATTCTCCTCTGTCCTCGCGGTGAACGATTTAACAGTGCATTGGCCTGTGTTTGGGATGTGGGAGGATAACTTGGCCTGAGTCCACTGAGCTCAATTCAGAAGGAGACGGCAAGTCATTCTCTTATGACTATCTTGTTAGGTTCCTGGTGTTAGACCTGTGACGATTACCCAACCTGCAGAATCTGGTTGCCGTGAGCCTCCTTGATAGCAAAACACAAAGGTTTCAATTCAGCTTTTGTATATTTTTATGATATTTTACCACCGAGCTGAACATCTGAGAGTTGGCCTGAAGATAAATCTTTCTCTTGTGATCATACTGGTTTTAGCAAGAAAAACACAACATGGTACGGCAGAAAGAGTGTAATCTTTTCTCTCTGCAGCAGATCGTAACATCTAGACTACAGAGTACAAAACTTGTCAAACACAAGCAAAGTTTTTGCTTGAAGTTTTTTACAGAACTTCTTGGCAGCGCCTTGAGACAAATTTGGAAAAACAGTTTAGAAGCTCTCAGTGTGGAAAATTAACCATCTTTTCAATCTATGTCTTTTACAGCTACAATTCAATTATGTACTTACCATTCAAATCAAAGCTATCCTATGACAGGAGATACAACTAATCAAATCCAACAAATTATGGACATGACTGTGAACACTGCGTCTGTTCTTCTTGGAGCCAGATCCTGATTGGAAAAAAAAAAGAAAAAAGGAAAGATTGTTTTTCCTTATGGAAAGTGGTGAACTTCTGCTCAGAGTGTTTTGTATTCTGCGTGGTGGTCCTGTGGAAAAGGTCACAGAGGCTGGAGGCAAACCAGATCCAAATGTTACATCATTGTTTTTGAGTAATTCAAGAAAAAGAGAGTTAATCACAGCTGACAGTTTTGAATGTGTCTTTAATTAAACATCTTGCTGTAGTTCAACGGCTCAGCTGTTGCTGCCTCGCGGTTTGCCAGTGGACATGTACAGGCATAAAACACGGTGTTAAATGTTAATAGTTTCATAATTATAGTGAGGACCACATGATAAAACCTGATCGATTCTGTTCTTCGGGGATCCACACACACACACACACACACTTGAGTTGGACGGTGTTGTTCGTAATGATTTTTACACGTGCGTCTGGGAAGTGTCTCCGAGGTGTCAGCTATCCTGTGCTCTTTAATGTTGTGCATTCCTGCTCCTTTCGACGATGGATGTCTGGAAAGTATCTGATTATTTAGCTCATGCATCAGCAGTGATTACTGTCACAGACGCATGGCGGTGGACAGTATGTGCTGTGACCCCTGCATCCTGAGTCTGAGGAGAGGAAAGACCCATGACTGCTAATGCTGAGCCAGCGGAGATCTTTTTTACGCTTTTTGGAATCAACATCTTGTCATCTAATGGCAGAGCAATAACAGAGAGTCAGGTCATTTTCCCCTCAGCTTTTTACTTGACTCGTGCTTCTGTATCCCAACAGATGCTGAGAGAAACACAGGGCTGAGAGAATGAGTCACAGCAGAGATGGTCAGAGTTTGCTCAGAGCGAAAATTGAACTTGACAGTTTTGCGTTTTTTTTTTTTTTTTTTGCTTGTTTGAATCAAAGCAATCTCTCGTTAACTCCAAAAAGATGCTTTCCCTGAGCCTAAAAATGCAATTCAGTCCAAATAAAGTATGTGCTAACCTTTTACGTCTAATCCCACGTTTTTATGTCACCATCAATAACCCACTAAATTGCTTTTCGTCTGTGGTTTGCAGTCATTAATTACAGTGAATATCCTCCATAATGAGGTAGTTGCTGTCATAGCTACATGATTTCTGGGCTTTTTTCCATTTGGCACTGGATATGACTGAGCATCTCTCGTAATTATACAGTAGATGAGGCCCATACAGTACTTTTTGCAACTGTGCAGCTCTAAGAGACCCCTTTAGTTCAATCAAGACTTCATTCATCTCCTGCTTCCCTTCCTGCTCCACTTTGTGTCCTCTGAACTGTCTCTCTCTCTCTCTCTCTCTCTCTCTCTCTCTCTCTCTCTCACTGCTTTCCTCTGCCTTTTTTTATATATTTCTTTTTCTTTTTTTTTTGTTGTTTCCCCTCAGCACTGTAGGTCTGCCGGAGCAGTCACGTTAATTTGTTGAGCTTAATAACTCCTCCGACAACAAAGAGGACCATTGAGTATTGTGACTTGAAATGACAGGAATAGAAGTTCCTGAGTGGGGATGCTTGTTCAAGCATGCGCCTTGGCCGTCACTTTTACTAAAAGCCCATTCACAGTTGAACAGAAGGGATGCAAGTGGTTGCGTGGGTGCCTCTGTGTGTATGTGTGTGCAAGTTCACCCTAGTTTAGAGAGATGTCAGAGTCACACTGCTACATGGTAGAAACAGGATGGCATTTAAATATCTAAAAATACTTCCTATATGCAAAAGACCACAGCTTCTCAGATATGCAAAAGCAGTTGAACCCTGGGGTTGTATAAAATATGCCAGAGATACAATCTGTCCATTATCTTATCTGCAAGGCTTCAGGAAAAAACACCCACGATTATCAAGGTTAAACTGCCAAATACATGCATAATAAGGCCTAATTTGAATCTTATTTCTCCGGTTTTACAATATGTTGGCATCCGTGCATGTGCGCAGAGTGCAGGGGTGATATTTGCCAGTGGAGCAGCAATGTGTATCAGTGTTTTGTTCACAGTCAGATGACTGTTCCAGAAGGCCTGTGGGAAATAATGGGCTGGGGGGGGGGGGCAAAGAGCCACTGCATCTGATGAACATTCACCGACTCATTCAACAGGCATTCAGCCCCTCTGCAGGATTTTCTCTACAGCACTATCTATGATTGCATTCGCTACACCATCCATGCTTTGATCCACTCTCTCCATATCACATGATCAGAGGGCATTGATGAAATGGTCAATAATGTTTACCCAGAATGACCTATTTTCTCTTGTCAGCCTTGAAATGGATCATAATGCATGTAAAGAGGCCTATGCTAACTAATGCCTCTACCCTGTGATGGACAGGATGTGAACAAAGGGGATTAGAGCCATGGGTTCACCACCAGGGTGAAACCCCGTTGCAGAAGTTGCGCTGTACGGCCGTGTTCACTAACTTCAGCCCTGCAGGGGTCGCTTGGTGAAAATATTGAACCTGGTTCCTATCCTTCCTAAAACTGTTGAATGCAGTTTTTGTCAGCTTCTGAAACTGATGTAGGGATTGGCTAGGGGTTTGTGTGTGTGTGTGTGTGTGTGTGTGTGTGTGTGTGTGTGTGTGTGTGTGTGTGTGTGTGTGTGTGTGTGTGTGTGTGTGTGTGTGTGGTGTGTGTGTGTTGGCAGGGATTGAACTTATCTCTAAAGTTCTCTCTTTTTCTCATTCTTCAGTT